ACCGATATACCGGTATATCGTTACACCCCTATTGTTTAGTACTATTATGTTTATATTTTTAGCTCACCTTGACATCGTCAAGCTGAGCTATTGCCATGGGTTGTCGTCCGTCGTACGTCCGTCCGTCCGTCAACATTTCACTACGGTCAACGATAACTCAGGAACCGTTTGGCCCACATGTTTGAAATTGGGTATAGTTGTTACTGCTATGCTCCCATTAAATACAATAATGTAACCCAAACCCAGGATAGGGTTACAACACATCGCTATGGTTTTCTGTGGAGGAACTTTAGGGAACCCCTGAGTGAATCACTCAGGGCGGTTTGCTGGTGCGTTTTCAGAGACTAGAACTTCCAAACTGGGTTTATTCTTAACATGAACCTTTCTCCGCTATCTTGGAACTTACTATGTATCAGGGAAAAAATTAAAATGTATTTTTCTGGGGCTACTTTTCAAGCTCGCGTGCATGAAAATAGCACTCTAAAATTTGGTTTGCATTGAACTCTATGCACATTTACGGGGGCTCTTTTTGGCATTTCCGGGGCTCTTTTTGGCATTTCGGGGGCTAAATCGCCCTGAGCCCCCGTGTATTTTTTTCACTGCTATGTATCACAATACTCTGTATTAAACTAATATAACCCGTTACAAAAATTTGAAGTGACGAGCGGCGAATATACTGAGCGCCATTTCTGTTGACCTGTGACGTACTCAGTGTTTGCCATTGAGCAGAAAAAGCTGTAGGCCTGCAGGGCCTATAGCTCCTAAAAGCTGCAGGCCCGCCAGCAAAGTTGTAGGCCCGCCAATTTTGGAGCAAATTACAGTAATAAAACAGCATATCATGTTCCTCCTTATGTTTATTAGTCATTATTAATGTCCATAATCATAATCTCTCTGTTTTTCCTTCCTCTCGTCGGATGACTGTTTATGCTTCTTTGCCAGGCCGGGGGCTCACAATTAAGGAAACGCCACATCGTTGTTATATGTAGCTCCTTGGTAACTACGACTCTCCACTTTGACAGCAGAGAGACAGACTGGTAGTCTGGTACACATCGGGGACTTCTATGTGGGTCTGGGAACCAGAACATTTTTGAAAATTATAAGCTCTGAGATGCAATCTAAAGCCATTTCAGGGTACTCCAATAGCTTACAACTAGCAACACTTTGGTGGAAAAGGAAAAAATTATGTAAAATTTACCTACTGGATTCCGGAACCTGTGCTAACCTGTGCGTCCGAACATCCCACGCACGTTTCTTGAATGCCAACTAAAGTTGATTGCAGTGGGTGAACGCATTGTTTACATGTATGTCACGGTTTATCACGGATTAGTTTTCAAATAAATACCCCTGGAAGTTAATATGCAAGCAAAGATTTCTACAGGTAACAGTTTCTCAGTGTTTCGAATTTTCGGTGATCAAATAGCTGTAGGATCAGCGGGCCTGTTTTATCAAGAAGCTGTAGGCCCGGCATCGAAACTGTCGGCGGCGGGCCGACGGGCCGACTTGAATTTCGAACACTGGACGTACTTCGGTTTGAAAAGCGGATTCCCCGACCAATCGGAGGGCGCTGCGTTTGCCGATCACTATGCGCATTGGGAATGCGTACGTCACAGGTCAACAGAGATGGCGCTCGAAATATCCGCCGCTCGTCACGTACAACTGCATAACTCCATGTTATTATTATTATAATTATTAAATCTTTATTGCATCTAAAATGCATCTCGGATGACCACGTAAAATGGCGGTCCCGTCTCCAGTAACTTAAACTCGCAGCTAGGGCCTGCATAGATACAATAATGTAACCCAAACCCAGGAGGATAGGGTTACAAAGCGTCCGTATGGTTTTGTGCGGAGGAACGCCTGAGTGAATCACTCAGGGCGGTTTGCTGGTGCGTTTTCAGAGACTAGAACTTCCAAACTGGGTTTATTCTAAACACGAACCTTTCTCCGCTATCCGGGAACTTACTATGTATCGCAATACTCTGTATTCAACTAATATAACCTGTTACAAAAATTCGAAAAGAGCTGGGGAATATCAATGACAATTTTGAACAAACTTTTGAAGCTCACATTCCATTATCATTATTATGTAGAGATTTCGGTTACATCGACGACTCTAATATACCAACCTCTACCTTCGAACACTTCATAACAGCATTTAAGCAGCAGAAAATACGGTTATTAGCCAAAAGCAGGCAGAAACTATTCAAACCACAACTAACTACAGTGCGCGGCCATTTTGGAGTGACTAAAAACATGGATTTATTCACTCCTAATAATAGACATAATATAAACACACCAACGCATAATATTATTGCTATATAGTATTTATTTAAATTTAAATTAAATCTATATTAAAAATAATGTAATGAGCCGACTTTGCTATCGGACGAGTGGACCCGACACCTCTCTGACAACACCCAATTTCACACGCATTTACCACACGCAAGACCATATCAATCAGCAGCTTGCTTCAGTACTACGAACGTAGATGGGCCCATGTATTTTTTCTCTCCGCCGTCATGGTGATAATAATAATACTAGTGAAAATGTGGCGATGTGTGCCATCTAGCTTAGCAGTAAAAGATGGTGGGTGCGGAAGCTTTTTGTCTTCATTGTGACTTTGAAAACTCATTGTGATCAGAGCTTGTGAACAACTGCGTGGACGTGTATGAAGAGATTGTTGTAAGTGAGAGACTTGTTTGTTGAACGGAGTGGCTGGAGGTACGGCAGCCGTATCTCCAATTTACGAGGCTGCGGGTACGGTAGTCCATTTGCGCATGCGTCGCTTTCCCACAAAATAATGCCGTTGGAAATTAAAATTGTTCAGATTTAAGAGTTGATGAGCTAGAAACACTCGGATTTGAAGTATGAAAATGAACATTATGTAGCTAGCCTACACCAGTTGGTTAGTATTGACTGTCAGTTCAGATGCAAAAGATTGAAAGCAAAAGGTTATACACCATAGAGTAATTGGGTACTAATACTACTATGACACGCAAGTATGAGATAGCCGAGTCGGTTTAGAGTTAGTGTTAGGTTTAGATTTAGGACGTGGATATTCGTCCGAGCATCGGACACCTGTTGCTATTCGTCCGAGCAGTTGCTGCACATGCGCTGTTCATGTTGTATTACATAAATGTAATATAATGCTAGTCTAGTGAGTCAACCTAACTCTAACAGACTAACCTAAGGCCATGAGAATGAAAAATCCGGTTTACCGTCCACCGCCCGCATGCCGCTTTAGTCCCCGCCCAAAAAAGTCATTATTTACCAAAAATTTCATTATTTGGAAAAAAATTCCCTCACTGAAACATAATAGACTAATCACAAGGTGTACTTAGCCTAAACAGCAATTCTGATGGATTTTGACAAGCTTGGGGCAGTCCGGATTGTACATGCCACTTTTCTAACCGCTAGACATATATCAGGGCGCCGGAATAAAGATTTGTCGAAAAAACCCGAAGATGACGACTTCAAACCGAAAATTCCCGAACGTGAGTCTCAATGTTCTTGCTAAATCAGTGTTGTGTGATTTGATTGGCTCACTAGGACGTCGTTCTGTAAACCCGACCAATCGGAGCTCCCGTAGCATAGCATGATTCGGCTAGCGCAGTCATTTAAATTTAATACCGTTGGAGGACATTTTGCATAGAGGACATTTAATAGGTGCGTATTAAATCAATCGATCAATATCAACACCATATCATGCCATCATATCATAAAACTCACTAAATATGTCTCATCAACTATTATTTTTGTTAGATGATTGTTTATTTATTTCAATGTGAACTCATGAAAGTAGAAATTTGTGGGAAATCGATTGTGTTTAGGTGCCCAGGGAAATACGTGCCGATTGAAATAGCAGCAAATGTGAGCTGGAATTCAAATGTTTTTTTTACACGTGGCACTCTGTCATGTGTCGAATGTCAAGTATTGTTCACCGATTTCAGCCTCGCCCATTGATCATACCAGTGTTATTTTTTAATATTTATTTGGGGGGGCAATTTTTTCATGTATCAACTATCATGTATGTACGTCAAATCAATCAATGTGAACTCATGAAAGTAGAAATTTGTGGGAAATCGATTGTGTTTAAGTGCCCAGGGTTTCACACACGTCACGTTGGTCGGGCCACGTGCTGATTGAAATAGCAGCAAATGTGAGCTGGAAATCAAATGGGGTTTTTTACACTGGCACTCGTGTCGAATGCCAAGTATTGTTCACCGATGGATACTTTGCTCATTTAATAAACAAAACATTAATATACTAAAAAATAATACCTTTTGGTGTTTCTCCTTTTTTTAGACTGAGTTGACTGAACACCGATAGACATGGCAGTGGCAAGCGAGCAAATCGCTGTTCGTGTGAAGGAGAATGGTGAGATCATTTCCCCATGGCGCTTCATATCGATTGATGAAAAAGCCTATTACACGTACGGCAAACTATTTTCAGATTCAGTCGACACTCTTCATTCCAAGGGGGTAATGAAGTGCAAAAACTACATTTTTCGCGAGGCAAAGGCGTACAGTTCCATGTCACTGAAGGATGGGATTATGGGTGATGCAGACACTGACCTAGTTCAAGTAGTCAAACTATTCAACATGAGGTTTTTTGACATTGAAACTAAACATTCCGAATGTACCACTTGTACTCCAGTTCAGGAAGTTAGGCCCGCCATGAACGCCTTTCAGGTGATGATGGCATCGTCCAAAGATGTTGCTGACGCCGATCTCCCAAAGATAACCGCAGCCCCAGCAACGAACTTGGAGAAATTGCAAAATCGTATTCTCACATACTTCGTTGAGCGAGGCTGTCTATTCCCAACCAAAAGTGGAAAAGCTGCAACGTCATTTGTGTCAAAGTTCACTGAAATGGTATACTATTTGGATGGGCAGTATCGCAAGATTGAACTGGAACTTGGCCATGGCAAGAAGTTTCCCGATGTTTTCATGAAGGAATTCAATGGGTACAATTGCCCTGAGAATTCCAAACATCGCAAAAGGAACCTCACAAACCTGAGTGAAAAGAAACTGAACTCTCACTGCATCTCTGTCCGTGAGGTGCTCCAGGCCCAGGGTCCCTACCTTGAGGCTATGCCTTGGGCTGAAGTGAAGCAGACAGCACTGGCTCTTGTCAAGGCAGTTGAAGAATACTGTGTTTTTCTGCGATCTCAGAATGTCAGAGTGAAGGTGTCCCAAGCTAAACCCCAGAGTGAAGTAGAGGTCAAAGCTAATGTGACGATCCTTCGGGTGAACCAGGGTCCAGTACATCATCTATTCAGTTATCTAGACAGACAAGTTTCTGCTACTGAACTGTATCAGCCCATTTCTGTGCGGGAGCATCTGCCACCTGGCATGGAGAGAAGGCGCGTGTATGATGCGATAGAAGATCTGAAGCAGTCGGGACTCAAGTCACATACGGTGCACCACGCTCATCACATTGGGGGGAGCAAGGAGAGTCTCCATTTTGTTTGGAGGATCGAGCCTACTGGGGATCCACAGGCAATCATCAATGGTTGTTTGAAGGTTAAGCAGAAAATCGAAGCTGATGCACCAGTATTCGAACGTCGTATTACCAAACGGGAATTTATGAGAGCGTATGGCTTTGTTAGTCAAAGGGTAGCCTTGAGGTCGATTTTCAAGAATCTCACTGGGGATCAGTCTGCAGCCCATGACACAGATGAAAAGGCGATTGATAAAAGATTCCAAGTGGCACTTCTGTGTGAAGATCCCGGGATTGTTGTTGATCTGCGAACGGTTAAACTTCCAAATCAACGAGACACTTTCGCAACATTCTTTGCGGAAACAGAAAGATACCTGTCGGAAGAAGTTGGGGTGGCAGTCCAAGAGAGACGGCATGGAGAACAGCTCTACCTGGCTAAAGCTGTTAGCCTGAATGACCTTCATAGACGAGTACAAGAACGAGTTCCTCCAGGCATCAAAATTCCTTCCGTTAAGTGGATGAGATACCAGTTTGAACCAATAAACTCAAGAGCCAACACAGCCAAATACTACAAAGCAGAGATGAAGATAAAAATGATGGTGCAGAAAAGACAGGTAGGCCCTATAGTATTCAATGTTCGGTAGGCTGTCAGTTAAATTACTTTAAAACCAACATTATCATATATGCATAGCCTGATATCTTGCATTCCTTTTCAGATAAGAATCAGCCATGTTGATGCTCATTATTGCGCGGCAGCGTGGCGGTACCTTCGAGAGTATGCAGTCCTGAACCGAGATATATCTACATTAGTGTCAATGGATGATAAGCATAAGATTAAAGTTGGTGAGCCATCGTACCCACTAGCAGCCGCCGAGAGGGGCAAGAAGGTGATAGTTGGGGCCAACCAAATTATGGCAGTCGGCGACCATGATTTTTCAAAGTGTACCCTCACCCCGTCTGTTAATCTGGTGGTAAGTAGGCCTACATGATGTATTAACATTTGATGAAACACTGCTTCTGTGCCAGAAGGTTCATGATACATCGATGAGTGATCATGTGAGCAATTTCCAACGAAATCTCTTTCTTTTACAGATTGACATCCCTACGACCATAGATGGTAGCTTCTACCATGGCGACGTCCATGTGGGCTTGAAGGATTCCATTCTGGAGCCATCGTCAGCACTTCGACATGCTGCTGAATTGAAGCAGGTTCTGCTCCCACGTGGAGGTAGGCTATTTCTGTTCAACAAAGACAAAATTAAATATCAATTTGATGTTTCAAGGAATTCACTGGTATCCACTGACTTCCTATTTCAGCTGTGTCCCCAGTACTTCTCATATATACAGACGGAGGGCCTGATCACAGATGCACCTACATCAGCGTAAAATTATCATTGGTTGCCTTGTTCCTGGAATTGGATCTCGATGTGCTGGTGGCATTAAGGACAGCTCCAAGCAACTCCTGGGCGAACCCAGTAGAGAGGGTGATGTCAATTGTGAATATCGGCCTCCAAGGAATTGGTCTGATGCGACGAAAAATGTCTGATCAATTTGAAAAGGCTATTGGTAAGTTGTTTTTAAATAGCATCAATGTAGAAATAAACTTTGCGATATTCATCATTCTTGGGACTTAAATTCACTGGGGGTATCTTGTTGGAGGTTTATAAGATTGTATTAAAATGTTCATACATGTACATGTATTGACTCATTTTTTAAGCGAATGCAAACAGTGTGAAGGAAATGCGGATAAAACTGTCAACTGATGAGTTAAAAGACGAACTGAGCGAATCCTTGAACTTCCCAAAGGATTTGCTCAAAAGTCAGATGTCCAGACTGTCCCTGAAGGAAAAGCCCTTCAAGACGTTCATGCCAGCGCCAGAGGCAGAAATTGATGAACTGTGGCAGAAGTGTCTGGAGGTGGAGAACAGACTACAGGTGAGCCAATGTTTCCTCGGTCTAACAATTTTATACATACATTGTATCAGGAATATATTAATGTATTGGTAATGTATTCTTGATTGTATACGTATACTAGGCCTACATTTTATACTTCTATACGAACATACCTTTGCTATCAAATACCCTTGATTGATCTCTCTTTCAGCGTGACAAACTCACCTACAAAGATGTCAAGAAACTGGACAAGATGATGGCCTTTCTTGAACACTGTTGTATTGAGGGCCACTATTGTTTCCAGATAAAAAAGTGTGGAAAGGTGGATTGTACTATCTGTAGGTGAGTCATCCCTGTATAATTCTCTATGTCAATGTCTGTATTGTAATTCAAGGCTGTGCTTGGTAGTTGGTGTATCTTTCAATACTTCCTATTCTTGCTAGTGACACTATATCACGCACAAAGCTACTGCCCTCTTGCTCTATTTCTGCACACCACTTTCTCACATTGCACCATTTCAGACCGCTGAGAGATGAAAGAAGTGCAGATGTGGCAACCTTGCCATTCCCAGTGGATGCCGGAGATGGCCATTACAAGCCATTCACAGACGTTTACAAGACTGAAACCCATGACGTATGTATACATGTATTTCATCCCATTGCAATGACATCTTGACCTAAAGATTTAGATTTCTCAGCTTGATTTGGAAATGCTATACGTGTATAGTCAACAATGGGCAATGTTATACATTGTATATCTTCATTCTTGGATGTCTCTGTGTTTCAGAATAGGCCTAGTCTACAGGTAAGGACAAAGGCTCAAAGGCAGAAGAGCAAATTCTGTCCTTCAGTTCAACATGCTACAAACACGGACACTATGCTGCAGTGTGTTGAATGTGAGAAGTGGAGACTGATATTCTCAAAGCACAAGCTCACCAAGAACCAGGTAGAGCAACTGAACCAAGTGTTGGCGGAAATTGACTACACATGCGGACTGATGCTTGGTAAGCAGAATTCCACACATTTGTTTTCTTTCTTTCAAAATACCACTCAACATCCTATAGATGCTTCTAAACTACTAAACATATTCAAATGTTTTTTTTTCAGACGACATCAACCTTCCACAAGGCCTCAAGTCCAAGTTGTTGTTCGTCAAGGACCACGATTGCCTAGACCACATCGAGAAGATCTACTTCTCGTGTGGCTATGAACCCTGCTGCATCTTCTGTGGGGAATACGTGGATGCCGACAATGAGGAAGACTACTACCCACAGTGTGCTGACTGCACCCAACAACCTATTAGGAAGAGGGACAGCTAGATTGTTTATTGTCTGTACTGTAGTTAGTAGTTAGTTGTTAGTA